GAAGAAATATTACTAGAACAGAAAAATTCAAATGAATAAACATGATTCAACGGAAATGTGGAAAACTATTAAACAATTGGTGGGAGAAAATAACAAGACAAGAAGAGCGGCAATAAGTTTTGATGGTAGATTTTAGAGAGACCATAATGTAATAGCACAAAGGTTCATTGAATATTTTATACAAAGTATCGAATCAATAACTTTCCAAATTGATGAAGAAGATATTGCGGAAGCAAATAGGAAACATTGAATATTCAAAGATAGATTTCTCAGAATTTGAATTGCTCTCATTAGCTAAACTAAGAACTATAGTGAAAAATCTTAAGAAGAAGAATAGCAGTGTAGATGGAGTGACAACAAACATCTTAGCAAAGGCATTTGAGGTCATAGGTGATAGATTTTTGCGTGTGGTAAATGTCGGGCTCAGATATGGAGTGTTTCCCAAATGTTGGAAGAAAACAACAGTCCAGGGTGTCAGTGATCGCAAATGCAGTATCCACCTATTTGCGATCGACACGCTAATCCCTATTATACATAGTGGGGGGATCAGTTGATGGGATTGTGGAGACTGAGAATGAAGAACTCCAAGTATTATATAGATGGCTGGTACAAAACGGTTTGAGTCTGAACATAAAAAAAAAAAACAAAATGTATGATAATAAAAAGTAGATACAGTTCAGTGCAAACCAAGAGTCTTAGTGGAATATTTGTCAAGAACAACAAACTCGAACAGATAGAACAGTATAAATATTTAGGTATTATAATAGATGACAGTTTAACTTTCTTCCCTCATGCTGAATCGAGTGCTGAATACATAACAAAGAAAATAGCAAAGAAAACAAACCTATTAGGGAGAATGAGTTCATAGCTAGGCCTAGGCCAGTGGTCAAAATTGACAATATGTAAAGTAATAAACTTAACTTACCTCACTTTAACTACTGCTCAACAATTCTATATCTACTAAGCAAAGCGAAAACAACCACACTGCAGAAAAAGCAAAACCAGGCTATTCAGTATATTCTTGGATGCAATCGTGATATAAGTTCAATGTTAGACACAACAGGTCTCCTGAGTGTAAGGCAAGTAATTTTTTTTTTTAAAATACAATGACTTTTTTATATAAATAAAAAAAGGAGTATGCCCAGAACACATATCAAGAAACACACATTATGTTGCTGATATACATAGTTATCACACTCGTTACCACTCGTACCAGGGATGACTTCTATATAAACAGAGTTATGAATAGTTACAGTCGAAATGATCTCTTCCATGATGGATTTGTGTAGTTTAACAGTTTGCCAGTTATTATTAAGCACATAAAAAAATTGCAAACCAAATTTTAGTAGGTCATGTTTGGCTGTTATTGCCCTAAGTTCAATAATTTTGTGTGTATTTTTGTGTGTGAATATACAGCTATGGCTCTAATCAAATTATTCATGTGTGTCTATAGCCTGAGTTTAGTTCAGTTTAGTTTTGCTTTTATTTGATCTGTATAAAAAAAACATACATTTTTACCCTTACAGGCGTAGATCACGTCAAAATAAAAATACTACATGTAACTATAACTAAAATCTTATAAATTCTAATACTATACCTAAATTGGACAGAACCTTCACTTACATATTTTGATAAAATTTAACCATTAATTGTTTTGGTATACCTACATACATTCACAAATACGAAATAATATGATGATTAATGAGCTTAACATAAAAGAGTAAATGACAGAAATGAAAAAATACAATATAAAAGACAAACGTGATGTGGACAAACTAAAATAATAAAATAACTTTTGGGTAAGGCTTTGGTCAGGTACTTCTGTATTTGTTTTATTCTATATTTTGATCTATCTTGAAAGTTCTACTTTATCTGGGTCACTGAAAAACTCTTCAACATTGTAGTATGATCTTTTTTCCAGAAGTTGCTTTAGTTTGTAATCAATTTGTTTAATTGGCAGCTGTCTAAATGTGATGGGTAGTGAGTTCCATATTTTTACAATGTTAAAATGTTACGTTTTTCTGCAGATAGCTTAACTGCGGGATATCTGTTTTAAGGTTTTGTTTTTTTCTTGTGTCATATTTATGTTCAACTTTTCGATTTTCAAAAAGATCTGGGTTTTTTAAAATAAACTTAATGCTTTCATAAATATAAATGTTGTATACCGTGTGAATGTTATACTGACTAAAGTGTGTTTTGCAACTTTCTAGGCGGTTTAAATTTAGAATTGTTCTTAAGCAACGTTTTTGCAAAACAAGTATTCTATTAGCGTAAGCTGAATTTCCCCAGAATATGACACCATACCTAACACGAGACTGTACATAGGCGTGATAAGAAGCCAAAGATGCAGAGAGACCCATTGATTGTCTAATAATTCTGAGAGCGTAACAGAATTGGCTCAGTTTTGCTGCAATATTATTGTGAGCTTCCCAGCTCAGCTTATTGTCTAGAGTGACTCTGAGAAAAGCCACAGCGTCCTGAGCTTCAAGGTCATGTCCTCCATACTCCATACACAGTTTTTCTGATGATTTTAGTTTGAAATGAATAAGTTGTGTTTTATTTATGTTTAGTGTTGGACTATTTGAATCAAACCATTTTTCTAATTTTTTGAGATCATTATGGATATTCACTTTTGTCACTTGTATGTCTTGTTCATCATATATTACATTTTTATCGACAGCGAATAACACTATTTTGTCATTTTGAATAATGTTTGTTATGTCATTAGTGTATAGAATATAGAGAAGAGGAGACAAGACCGCGCCCTGAGGAACGCCTCTGTCTACGCGTCCAAAATCTGATCTCATCCTTTCCCCATCTCTGCTCACTTCTTCTATGCACTGCCACCTATCCCCTTGAAAGGATCCAATCAGCTGCAGGGCCACCTTTCGTATGCCACATGCATCCAGCTTCTTTAATAAAGTTTCATGGTTGACACTATCAAAGGCTTTAGTCAAATCCAGACATAGAGCTGCTGCTGTTTGTTTTCTATTGAGCGTATTATTAATTATTTTATTAATGGTTTCATATATCGCTCTAATTGTTGATTTGCCCTTCCGAAAACCATTCTGCTGGTCTGAGAGTACGCTTTGATTTCCTAAGAAGTCTGTAATTTGTTGGTGCATTAGTTTTTCGAAGATTTTGCTTATATTGCTTAATAGTGATATGGGGCGATAGTTTTTAATATCATTTTTGGCTCCTTTATTTTTATACAAGGGCTTGACAATGGAAAACTTGAGGGCAGATGGAAATTTTCCTGTTTCGAAGCAGAAATTTATTATATGAGCGAGAGGTTTTGAGCTGATATGCGCAGCATGTTTTAGCAATTTCACAGGGACATCATCAATGCCAAACGATTTTTTATTTTTTAGGCAATTTATAATATTTTCTACCTTTTCAGGATTCGTTAATGTAAACTTAAAGCTATTTTTTATATATGTTAAACTCTCGGTTAAACAAACATTTGAACCTTGTGTGTTTTGAGCCTTATTTGGATAAGAATTTAAAAAGAAGTTATTAACCTGATTAAGAAATTTTGGAGATTCCTTTTCCTGGAAGTGAATAAAAATTGATTGTTTTTTATTTTGAGCTTTTGTGATTTTATTTATAAGATTCCATGTAGTTTTGGTTTTATTTTCAGAGTTTTCAATTTGAGTTTTGTTTGATAGTTTTTTTGCGTTTTTTATTACTTTTTTTAGTATTTTTGTGTATATTTTCTATTTTGTTTTACTCACGAATCCTGATAGTCCCCAGTACATCGACCTTAAAATTTTGTAACTCATGTACACGCCCAACTTCCTGAGCGGCTTCATAACACCAAGTCGGACAATATTTTTCATGTCTCCACCTTGGGGGATGGGACATTGCTGCGCTAGCTCTTCGTGAAGTTGTCGTTCTGACGTCCCTAAGGAAGTTGATACATGTACGTGTGGTTTCAATGCCAATCGACTGTTTTTTACATTACATTAACGATATCACATTTGTCGGACAAAAACCATGTGGCTTTGGGGAAGGTCCGACACCCTCAACATGTCGCTGTGGCGTCCCTGAGGAAGTTGATACATGTACGTGTAGATTTAATGCCAATCGACTGTTTTTTGTATTACATTACCGATATCATATATGTCGGACACAAATCACGTGGCTTCGGGGGGCTCCGACGCTCTCAACATGTCGCTGTGGCGTCCCTAAGGAAGTTGATACATGTACGTATGTTTTTAATACCAATCGACAGTTTTTTACATGACATTAACGATATCACATTTGTCGGACAAGAAATTTGAGACAATCAATGAAAAAATTAAAATAAGTTTGCCTTAACGCAACGTGCATATTAGTCAGTTTATTATTTACCTACTTTGTCAAATACCTGTGGGGCCCTGTGTCATATTCCCTGATCTGTTTTTTTGATAGTTCTCCGAGTATTTACGGAAATTATTTAGTAAACGCGGTCATTCAAAACCACGCGTGTGAGAAAGAATGGATATTCAGTCGTGTTTTTTGTGCAATCTCAGGAGTGAAGATCCTGAATTTCGGCAGAAATTGATCAATAGGACTTTTGTTGTCCAACTGACTTTAATACTCATTTTATTTGTCCGACATTTACTACACATGTTTTAAAATTACATTGTTATTCATAATTATTTTTGTCGGACATACATGTATCAACTTCCTTAGGGACGCCACAGCGACATGTTGGGGGCGTCGGACCCCCCCAGAGCCACGTGATTTTTGTCCGACCTATGTGATATCAATAATGTAACATAGAAAACAGTCGATTGGCATCAAAACCACACGTACATGTATCAACTTCCTCAGGGACGCCACAGCGACATGTTGAGGGCATCGGAACTTCACCAAAGCCACATGGTTTTTGTCCGACAAATGTGATATCGTTAATGTAATATAAAAAACAGTCGATTGGCATTGAAACTACACGTACATGTATCAACTTCCTTAGGGACGTCAGAACGACAACTTCACGAAGAGCTAGCGCGGCAATGTCCCATCGCCCAGGGTGGAGATATGAAAAATATTGTCCGACTTGGTGTTATAAAGCCGCTCAGGAAGTTTGGCGTGTACATGAGTTACAAAATTTTAGGGTCGATGTACTGGGGACTATGAGATATAGAGGTCAAACATTGTTCTCTAATTTTTGATGAACGTTTTTATTTCTGTGGTTAGCCAATGAGAAATGCCGTTTGCTTTTATTTTTTCTCTCTTTTTGGGAAAGATCAGATTCAGATAGTAGGTTGTTGTTGTAATAAATGAGTTGTATGAATAGCCATGACCGATTTAAATACCCGGTACTTATAACTTGCGTTTTTTTTTTTAGAAACTTGCTGCAGATAATGATTTCTACAGAATTAGAGCAACTGTAGTAGCAAACGATGGTTCTGAAAGAACATTTATTTCCGCAATGAAAGCAGTAAGTAAAATTTCACTACAAAAAAGGCAATTGCAAAAAAAAAATACTTTTTAAAGTGTATGTTAGCTGAATCAGAACTAGACGACAAATTATCAATTTCTCTTGATTATATGGGCAGAGTGATTGGTGTTACTACTGTGATAGCTTCAAAAGCGTCCTGTGAAGGCAGCCTTGTTCCAATAAGTAAGCTTAAAGAGTTTACCACTAGTGTTTATGTGAGGCATACTGAAACTGGGGCAATGTAAGTTTAGAAATTCAGTGATAACAAATTTTGAAATTATTTTTTATGCTAAGCCCCGACACAGCTTCGTTTATTCAAAAAATAGAAAGAGAACGTGAGGCACAAGAAAAAGGAGAAGGGAAAGATAATAGATCATTTTTGTCCAAATATGTAAGTGCTTAAAATAAAGTTATTATTATTTAATATTTATACTTATTATTTTCAGTGGATTTATATTGTTCCTGTTGTGATAGTAATGGTGATAACTTCAGCCAGCAATCCAGATGGGCAGCAGGGTGGAGCAGCTTCATAAGTACCTGTTTAAAATAGTTTATTTATTCAAATAAATGATAAGTTAGAGTGAAAATGTTCCCAAATAAATTTAATTGAAATGAATATATGGTGTGAGGCCAAATTGGAATTTACAATTATAATTTTAATAATAATTGAATATTCTGAATCTTGCTTAGCATCCATCTATGCTTTCAATTGCCCAATTGTTTCTTTTAAAAAATCATTATTAGTTTTTGACTTTAAATTAACATTGGTTTCGGAGTAGTGTGCCTCCAACAAAATTTTCGAAGAACTACTCCCAGTGAAATTGCTTTTTTGATGAGTAAGCTGTCACCTTAAAAATTTGTTCTTCTGGATGCTATGCTGTAAGATTGATTATACAGCAGTTAGACCAGACAGCAGTACTTTTTGCCTACTCGGTACTCCAAAGTTTAGTTTTGGCAGGAGAGTTTCATCTGCCCATTTATAGTAAGAACGTTTGGAATAGAAAAATGAAAACCGTATAAAAAATATATTGGGTGGTATGAATAAAAACGAAGTATCTGCTACTACTACAAGTAGTAGTATATTCTTCGTAGTATTTACTCTCAAAAATCCTTATTTATTTGAAAAGTACATACATTCACAGGCCGGGAGCTAGTCCCCCCTCTAACTACAAATAATGCAGAACAATACTAGAAACTAGGACAAGGACTTTTACCACTCAATGATACGCACCTCCCTGTGCGCACAAGCACCCCTACCGCGCTGTGTACGCGTTTTTAATTGTCAGTCGATGTTTTCACCAATCAAACACCTGTTCCTTTTTTTGCTTGCAACTCTTCTTGACGTTTTCTGGTTGCCCTTATACGTCAATTATATGGTCGCTGGTGAACACCACGGATGGCGAGCATTGGGCCGCTTCACTGGCCTACCTAAGAATAAGGGGGAAGCGGGTATGGATTAAACGGGGTCGTCAGTCCTGCAGCCTGACCGATCCTATGACTTGAGGAGTCTTTAGGTAGTAGTTTTGGTGCAGGTGGGGAGCGGGGAGGTTTGCATGGGATGTCAGAGAATGAGGATTGGGTGCAAGAATTTACCAGTACTGGGATTTGCATTTTTCAGCGGTGATTGTTGGTCGAATTGCGGTATCCGCCGAAGGTTAATTAGATAAGAACGTTTTCTTCATAGTCAGCCAAAGAAGAGTTAGGAAGAGCTACACGCTTATTTGCCGGTTAGTTGGAGAAAGAAATTGAGTATCCAAACTAGACCTTATGGTGGTGAAATTTGCCTTGTCTCCTGCTTTAGACTAAGGAGGTAGGTATGGCGCATAGAAACAGCAAAGGACAAGTTAAATCAAATCAAAAGCTTTGTTTTGGTTCAAAAAAAAGACGGTTCTAGAACGGTCCAAAACAATCGCACAATTTATAATTGGAATTTTCCCAAAAATATTTTTTGCTATATGGGTAGGACCATAGTTGTGTAAGGACTTCCTAATCCTTCCTGCTCTGTTTAGCATAATGTCCTCCACATACTTCCAGGACTGTGGGAAATAGATCTTATCTCAAGATAAAATTGCTGAATTTATGGACACGCTGTATAAAATATTGTTATGTAAAAGATAGCTCTAGGTGTATTTGGCATAATACTCTATATAGTATTTAAGTGAGAAAATCGGTTTTTAAGGAATTTGCTTGTATGCTTATCTTGGAACACCCTCTGTAGCTACTTTTACTATATGGTTTAATATAGTCCTTTACTACACAATAAAACTTATTTCACAATTTTAGCGTGACTTAAAAACGAAAAGTATTATCATACCCTACTAATTGTCACTAAATGAATAAAATCAGACAGTAGCAGAAAATTATACAAGGTGTCCCCGTTCAAATGGTCAAAAATGCTAGGGTACATAGACGAACCATAGAAAAGTAATTTGAGATAGGACCCGATGGTCGGAAGTGCGTCGTTTCCAAAATACAGTGTGTTGAAATTTGAACAACCCTTTTTCATATCATCTGGACTGTTCATCATCTAGGCTGTTCAAATTTTCAGGGATTATTGACGTAGGAATGATATTTAAAAATTCGTATAATGCACCCCCATTTTCTACCTGAAACCACCCCAAAAAAAAATGAAAAATAAAATTTCAAAAAAAAGCAAATTGTTTCAAATTTTATTTTTTTTTGAGGTGGTTTCAGGTAGAAAATAGGGGTGTATTTACATTATGTGAATTTTTAAATATCATTCCTACAACAATAATCCCTGGAACTGGAAATTTGAACGGCCTAGCATTAGCCCTCCAGATCATAGGCGCCGGAATTTCAAAATTACTATGGGGGCTCGATCTCTAAAAATTAATATAAGTAGAATTAATTATACAGACAGGACTAGGCTACTAGACACATAGGCTTGAATGGGAGCAGCACCATTCGCGTAGCCAGGATTTTGCCTTGAGACGAGATGAAATTTACAGGAAGTGATTCTTGCAGAAGTTGCAGTTTTGCCGCGAGCGCTGCAGAACGAAAAGCGCCGCGCGAAATTTTTGGGACTTTTCACGGTATTTTTGGGACTTCCAATGGCAGAGATACGGCCATTTAAACAAATTTTGACAAGAATTTATGATAGAACGTTACTTATATTATAATGTATGTATTTGATTATTTGACTATTCATGTAGGACTTGAATAGGGTAGTGGACAATTTTTTGAAATATTTTTTTTATTAATCTCCATAACAAAATAAATAGTAGTTGATGATTCTTTGATTTTAGAAAAAAAAAAATTGTACTTATTTTAAACGCTATAATTTACCTCCCGGAAATTACGTCATAGTTGTTATGTCGTCCTACCCTATTGATTCTTTGTTTATTTTAATTTTAAATTATTAATAAAATTCAAAAGCCTTTGGGGGAATGGGGCAAATGCTGCTCGTCCCCTTCCCTGGTTACGCCAATGGACAGCAAAAAGAAAAGGAAATAATAATAGAACGACTTATTGAAAATACAGGTTTAGATACTTATACTATGTACACACCAAAATATTTAAACTGTTTGTTAAAGTAGGCATAGCAAAAATAACAAAAACATTAAACACATAAGTTTGATATAAAAATAAATAGTTAGGAACAGGAACTCAATAGGCAGTTTTCGAAGCATCCAAAAAGTATCACCGGTAGCCGCTATTTGACAACTATGACATTTGAATGTCATTTAGCGTATATCACTACCGTTACCGTCCGCTATCTTACGGACGATAGACATAGTGGTAGCAATAACGATACGCATATGCAGCACTGTTAAATTTATATCTATCCTTTTCTTTCTAGAGGCGTGAATGGAAAGAAAGTTTGGGGGTTGTTTGTTTTGATTAGTTTTTGGTTGTGTTTTTTGTATTTATGCAAAATTAATTTTTTTTTGAACTTTTCTGTGCATTTTCAGTATTAGTTTGGCTGTACAATAAATGCGGCTCACACTAACAGTGTATTGACTTGAATTATGATATCAAATTAAATCAAATCAAATTAAATCAAAAAAATAGGTACTTTATTATCCAAGATAATCAAATTTCTCTTGACAAAAGCATGTTACTTTTTAAATTCTCCAAAGTACAATAAAATTATAAATAAAAATGCAATTGCTATAGCTAGTCTAAGCATAAAATATCTAATATAAAAAACATTATGTACGACTTCAAAATATAAACAACACAACACCACACAACACATCAAAATAACAGATTAGGAGGAACGATCCCACAGCTGATAAAAAATCCTTTCCGTTAACGGCAAGCGGTATGTCTCGAACGACTCGAAAACACTTTTTCGAGAACCATCAAATAGCGGCTAAGTTAACGTTTACATCTATGTTAAGCGTCAGAATGAGCACATCTACGAAAACTGCCTAATGTTCCTGTACCTACCTATTATACCCACTACATACAATACCAAAATCACTATGGGGGCTCAAGCCCCCATTGCCCCCATGGTTCCGGCGCCCATGCTCCAGATGATATGAAATGGGGTTGTTTAAATTTCAACATCCTGTATTTTGGAAATGACGTACTTTCGACCATCGGTGTCCTATCTCTATGGTTTCTCTATATACCCTAGCATTTTTCACCAGTTGAACGGGGACATCCTGTACATTGCTTATATTGCAGAATAATCGAAACAGATCAGTTTATTTTACAATTAAGCACTTGGCACAAGATAATTGCAATAAATGCAAAGGAAAAGCAATACCTAAATTATTAATTGTATAAGATATTCAAATTACAACTCATATCGGTGCCAAGGTAGATTAAAGTATGTATAATGTGTGCATTTCGATGCATTTGTTGATTCTGGTTTCCATCTACCCAGTGCGTTTACCCAATTTCTGCAAATCTTGCAATATTATTTTACGCTCGTTAAACAAGTTCTCTTTGTGTAGGTAATTATATGGCATTCATTATAGGTGTTTTGTTGTTTTTCAAGATATGTACCAGCGCGCGCGATTTTAAGGATTATACTTAGTACCTAGTATAATATAGTGACATATTGTAAGAAAATGCTTGGAGCAGTTATAAAATTTGGTAAGTCGGTAGGATTTATATTTCTTGATGTTTTAAAAGTAACTAATTTTCGAAGTTTATACGCCAAGAATACCTAGATACTGGTTTTCGCGCGTAGGCATAATATGATACCTAGTCTCACAATCGCCAGAAATAATCAAATTCGCTAATGATAATGGAATTGTTTAAAATCACAGTGTATGTGTCATACATATTTTAAATGGTACAATAATTTGAATTATTCGGATGATTAATCGTGTATTGTTGTTAGTTTATCGGTAGCTACTGCTTGAGTGAGTAATTTTTTAGTAGTTGGATGCACTTGGTCGCATTATTAATTTTAATGTGCAGAGTTTCGTTTGTACCTAGAACCGTAAGTACCAATTTAAAATATGTTTCTGATTTTATAATTGATGATAGGTATCTAACAAAGTTTATTCGAAATAAGTCAGCTTAGGCAACTTATTTTTATTTATTTTTTTTGGTCCAGAAACTCTAACCCTAAACTAAAGTTTTTCTGAAGCTTTCAAGTATATAGGTACCTAACCTAGTATTCAGATACCTAGGTACCTTTTCTGCACTCTCAAA